AAGAGCGAAACTCCATCTCAAAAAAAAAAAATAAAAAATAAAAAATAAAGCAAAGCATGTTTTTCATGTTCCTGTAAACAGTGTGAATAAGCCAGGTGTTCTCAGATGTTCTTGCCTAAGATATGATCCTCAAATTCGCTTCTAAACCAGCAAAGAGGGTTTCTTCAGACGGATTCTTTGGCTTTCAGTGGATGGCATTAGTGTCTGCCCTCTCTCTCCTCTGGGCCTTCCTCGTTACCCTTCTTCACGTATTTAGTGAGCGTTTACCGCCTCCCAGGCTCCCGTCCAGGAGTGGGAGGCCCAGTGGACAGAAAAGGGTCTGTCCTTCCAGACCCTGCATTTTAAGATGCTTGTGTCCAGATGATCATGAATTGTAGATCACCTTGGAATTCGAGCTCATAAAGTTTTACCCGGTAGTGCTTTTCTTGACTGTAGCCTATAAAGTTAGTATAAGTTTTTTATCTGCTAAATACAGCTGGTGCCTCGGATTTTTTTCTTTTTATGGCAGCTTATGGAATTCCACAAATTGCATATGCTTTTTTTTTTTTTTTTTCCTGAAGTATGGTTTATTTTAAAAGAATAGCTTCTTTTAAAATATGTGCAGGGCTGGGTACAGTGGCTTCTGCCTCAGGATTATATGCCTGTAATCCCAGCACTTTGGAAGGCTGAGGCGGGCAGATCACGAGGTCAAGAGTTTGAGACCAGCCTGGCTGATATGGTGAAACCCCATCTCTAATAAGAATACAAAAATTAGCCGGGTGTAGTGGTGCATGCCTATAATCCCAGCTACTCAGGAGGCTGAGCAGGAGAATCGCCTGAACTCACTGCACTCCAGCCTGGGCGACAGAGCCAGACTCCATCTCGAAATAAAATAAAATAAAAATAGCGCAGTGCAGCATCAAAGGAAAACAGCAAAACTTTAAATATTTGCTTTGAAAATTAGCTGTGTTGTAGGTTAAGAGCACAGTTTTACACCTTTGGACTTACCGTAATTAATTTGGGTTTGTCATGCATAGCTTTTCCATCCGCCTAAGAAATTACTCGGTGCCGATTACTGGAGATGGTGGCTGGCTTTTGGCGCCTGTTCCTATGTGTTTCTGCGGCCATTAGAAAATTACTAATTACTTTTTCACATATTTATTGTCAATTAAAATACCCCTACAAAATGCAGTAGCCTTCAGTATGTACATCTTAACTGCACACAGAGGACGGAGGTGTCTGGCACCGAAGCCGTAGGCTCCCCTGCGGGCCCCACTGAGGTGGTCACTGCCGAGCCCCGCTGGCCTCTGTTCTCAGCTTGGCCTCCCACTGTTTTGCCTGTGCGCTGCTCCTCTGCACAGCTCCCAGGGCACTTTCCAGAGCACCCATCTGACCGGGGTCCGGGGTGTGCCGACCACCTGGCATTGGATGGTGAAGGGGGCGTGGGGTGGTTCTGTAGCTGGTCTGATTTGTGCTCTGTTGGGAGGGAGAGCAGAATTTTTAAAGGAGTGTATGTGCCAGTTTTGGTGGAGATGAAGTTCTGGGTCTTTTTAATACTTGATTTCAGAAGAGAAGTGGCGAGAGCGGAAGCTGTCAGGGGCGCGTGGGCTCTGCGGGCCTCTGGTCCAACTCAGGCGCCCTCTGTTCTCTCGGGTTTTAGTGAAGCGCTACGTCCGAAAAGGGGTCCCGCTGGAGCACCGTGCCCGCGTCTGGATGGCGCTGAGTGGGGCCCAGGCTCAGATGGACCAGAATCCCGGCTACTACCACCGGCTTCTCCAGGGAGAGAGAAACCCCAGGCTGGAGGACGCCATCCGGACAGGTGAGATGTGGCGGTGGGGCTCTGGCACAGGGGCCCGGGCCGGTAGGAAGCGGTTTCCACCGTGTCTGGTCTTAGTGTCCAGGACTGAGCCGTGCACCTGCTGCTTTTCACTGGTGATGTCTTCAAATCCACGAAAGAATCAAAACAGGCCTTTGCAAGGGGAGAACAGTGATCTTAATTCACTCAGCAAATACGTGCCTCGCTGGCTGGTAAAGAGATGGCCACGAAGGAGCAGATGTCCCCCGTGAAGACTCGCAGGACAGTGGGAGCAGCCTCTGTCGCTGTGTGGGTTCGCGCCGGTGCTGGTCGCGTGGCCTTGCAGACGTGTCCGCTTTTGTGTCTAAGTAATTGCTGGACTGCCTTCTCCTCTGATTTTCTCAGTAATCACATAGCCATAGGGTCACCGGCGCTGAGAAGCTCAAAGTGCTAACAAAATTGGTGAACCTAAATTCAGTAATTTAGAAAGTACACCTGCCCTTCTGATTTTAACAGTTTATGAGAAATACACATTTAAACACAATATACTTAATTTTTTTCTTTCTTTATTCTTTTATGCTCAGTGTATAATAGAATTTTTTTTCTTTTTCTTAATATACTTAATTTTTTAAAACGCAGTGGCTTTGAAGTGCTGAGAGGTTAGAAGGACTTGGGATGGTGAGGACAGGATGCAGCCTGTCTTTCTGCCCTTCCTGGGGGTCTCCCGTCACCGGGCAGAGCCAGCGGGGAGGGGCTCCCCAGGCTGGGGCTGGGGCCACCAGGGAAGAGGCTGCATCCTGACCACAGAGTGATCTCTGCCAAAGGCCCCCAAACATGCACAGCCTGGTGGCCAGAAACGCTGATGCAGGTTGGAAAGAGGAGAGCTTGGGTGCGGTAGGGAAGGGGGTGCATATTAAAATAGCACGGCTTCTGAAAAATGAATTTAAAGGCTCTGTTTTATGGAATTTTTGATTTTTTTTTTTTTTTTTTTTTTTTTTTTTTTTTTTTTTTTTTTTTTGAGATGGAGTTTCGTTCTTGTTGCCCAGGCTGGAGTGCAATGGCGTGATCTCAGCTCACCACAACCTCCGCCTCTCGGGTTTAAGCGATTCTCATGCCTCAGCCTCCCGAGTAGCTGGGATTACAGGTGCACACCACCATGCCCTGCTAATTTTTTGTATTTTTAGTAGAGATGGGTTTCACCATGTTGGCCAGAATGGTCTCGAACTCCTGACTTCAGGTGATCTACCCACCTCAGCCTCCCAAAGTGCTGGGATTACAGGCGTGAGCCACCACACCTGGCCTTTTTTTTTTTTAAAGACAGGTCTCAGTCTGTTACCCAGACTGGAGCGCAGTGGTGCTATCATAGTGACGGCTCACTGCAGCCTCAACCTCCCAGGCTCAAGTGATCCTCCTGACCCAGCCTCCCCAGTAGCTGGGAGTGGTTGGGACCACAGGTGTGCACTACCACACCTGGCTTTTTATTTTTATTTTTCAGACAGAGTCTTGCTGTGTCGCCTACTCTGGAGTGCAGTGGCTCAGTCTCGGCTCACTGCAACCTCTATCTCCCAGGTTCAAGCGATTCTCCTGCCTCAGTGTCCCTAGTAGCTGGGATTACAGGCACACACCGCCAGGACCAGCTAACTTTTTGTATTTTTAGTAGAGATGGGGTTTCACCATGTTAGCCAGGATGGTCTTGATCTCCTGACCTCATGATCCACCTGCCTTGGCCTCCCAAAGTGCTGGATTACAGGTGTGAGCCACTGTGCCTGGCCTGGCTCATTTTTTTAATTTTTATTTTTTGTAGAGATGGGATTTTGGTCTTGAACTCCTGGGCTCTGGGGATTCTCCCTCCTTCACCTCCCAAAGTGCTAGGGTTACAGGAGTGAGCCATCACCTGGCTGAGTCTTTTTTTTTTTTTTTTTTTGTTATGGCAAAATAGACATCATGTAAAATTTACCATTTCATTTTTCCCAAGCTGAGCCTCAGCCCCCGGGACCTCGCCCAGCCCTGGCACCCACTGTGCACTTGTCTCCATGTTTTGGCAACTCTAGGGTCACATAAGAGGAGACCGCATCCTGTGCAGCCAGGTCTTTCCCCTCACCTCGTTCCTCAGGGGTCCTCCGTGCCGCATCTCGCATGAGAACTTTGTCCTTCTTTAAGGGTGAATAACAGTCCACGCATAGGCAGACCGAGGTTTGTTCACTTATCCATCGGTCAGTGGACACCGGGGCTCTCCTGCCATGCGGCTGTGAGCGTGGGTATGTGGATTCTGCTGGGGTCCCTGCTTCCAGCTGTGGGCTCATACCCAGAGCGTGGGGCTGCTGGATCTGTGACAGTTCTGTGCTTAGTCATTGGAGGCACGGGGTCAGTCCTCTTTCAGGAGCCGTGCAGTGATGTCCAGGCACGCAGAGCCTGCGTCGGGCTGCCTGCGCCCAGACAGAAAGTTCCCATGCTTGTCCATCTCCAGCAGAGATGGACCTTCTCCTTTCCCACAGGGTGTCATCAAAACGTATCAAAAAGCTGAGTGTGGTGGCTCACGCCTGTAATCTCAGCACTTCGGGAAGCTGAGGCAGGCAGATCAGTTGAGCTCAGGAGTTCAAGACCAGCCTGGCCAACATGGCAAAACTCCATCTCTACAAATCAATACGTAAATTAGTCGAGGGGTGGTGGTGTGCACCTGTAGTCTCAGCTACTCAGGAGGCTGAGGTGGGAGAATCGCTTGCGCCCTGGAGGTTGAGGATTCAGTGAGTCGTGATTGCACCACTGCACTCCAGCCTGGGTGACAGTGAGACCCCGTCTCAAAAATATATATATATGGAAAAACTCAATATTACATAGAAATGAATACAGCTGGTCATCTAGTCTGAAATAGCAAAAATACTAACTTCCCCTTGACTGATTCCATTTTTTGGAATGTTTAGAATTCCAGGGGGGAAAACACAGCTCTTTTGTAAGAAAACACAATGAGAAATAATGTGCTCTGAGCCACTGAACTAATGTTCTGCCCAAATCTAGTGTTTTGTAAGCAAAGACGCGGCCTGGGCCAGAGGTCGGAAACAGACTCACGGTATTTTCCAGCAGTTACAGAGAGACCGTAGGAGGTTGGGTTCCTCCAGAGCAGGGTGCGCCCCCATCCATCTCAGTGTCACGGCCGGCCTGCTGTGAGTCCATCTTGGAACCTGTGCAGAAAGCGCCCGTCCGCTGGTGGCCGCCCGAGGTGCCCAGCGAACACCTCTACAGAGGTGGGGCCAGGCCGGCGTTACCCTTCCTGCCCGGCCTGCGTCCAGGGTTAACGTGGAGGCCAGCTTCCGTGAGGCCTGGTGCTGGGTCAGCATGGGACTTGGTTGGGGTCCCCCGGCACAGGACGGCTTGGCCAGGGCCACTGTCCTGCCAAGAGCTGCCCGGGCAGGATGGCGGGAGGGTGGATGCCGAGGAAGGACGAGGCTGCAGGGACGCCTCCCGCACACTCAAGTGGCCGCGCCGGGTTTCTTCAGTTCTCAGCGCTCAGCCGTGTCCTTTATCTGAGGAGTCTTGGCTCATTCTGTCTCCTTCCGTTTTGGATCTTCAGAACTAAGAAAACACCCCAAAGTTCTGTGTGCATTTCTCTCCACCTGTCACCCCAGGTCCTCGAGGCAGAGCCGCCTCTGCTAGGCGTGAGGTCCAAGGTGCAGGAGGCCTGGGCTGGGGGCCGGGAGGAGGCGGGCATCGAGGAGGGGGCACCACGGCCCAGCTGGCAGCCCTGGGGTTGCTCTGCTGTCCCCGAGTCTGCGGAAAGGATGGTTGGGGTCCCCTCCGCCCCGAGTCCAGGGATCGCCCCCTCCTTCCTGGCCCTGGTGAGCTCATCACCCTGGCTGTGTTAAGTCTGCTGTGCAGCCAGGGTGAAAACCCGTCCATAAGTCCCAGGTGGAACCCAGGCGGCCACCCTCAGGGCAGCTGGAGGGGCGGGAGGCTTGCAGAGCAGAAACCTGTGGGTGATTCCCCCTGAATTCCTGCAGACCTGAACCGGACCTTCCCTGACAACGTGAAGTTCCGGAAGACCACGGAGCCCTGCTTACAGAAGACCCTGTACAATGTGCTGCTGGCATACGGGCACCATAACCAGGCCGTGGGCTACTGCCAGGTGAGACTCGGGACCCTCCGACACAAGCCTGAGGCTGTCGTCCACAGCTGCAGGTTCGGCAGCGAGGGCCTCATGTCTCTGTCGGCCCGTTCATGAATTCCACGTCCTGATCCTCACGCGGCTCGGACGCTGTTTCTCGGCAGGGAGGACAGGGAGCAACAGCTGACCACCTCTGTTCCACCTCGGGTGGCAGGAGGAGAAGCAGGCGCATGCTGTGGTGCACGTGTGTGCTGTTGTGGGGTGCGTGTGCTGTGGAATGTGTGTGCTGTTGTGGGGTGTGTGCTGTGGAACGTGTGTGCTGTTGTGGGGTGCGCATGCTGTGGTGCACGTGTGTGCTGTTGTGGGGTGCGTGTGCTGTGGAATGTGTGTGCTGTTGTGGGGTGTGTGCTGTGGTGCACGTGTGTGCTGTTGTGGGGTGCGTGTGCTGTGGAACGTGTGTGCTGTTGTGGGGTGTGTGTGCTGTGGAATGTGTGTGCTGTTGTGGGGTGTGTGCTGTGGAACGTGTGTGCTGTTGTGGGGTGTGTGCTGTGGAACGTGTGTGCTGTTGTGGGGTGCGTGTGCTGTGGAACGTGTGTGCTGTTGGGTGTGTGCTGTGGAATGTGTGTGCTGTTGTGGGGTGTGTTTGCTGTGGAATGTGTGTGCTGTTGTGGGGTGTGTTTGCTGTGGAATGTGTGTGCTGTTGTGGGGTGTGTGCTGTGGAACGTGTGTGCTGTTGGGTGCGTGTGCTGTGGAACGTGTGTGCTGTTGTGGGGTGTGTGCTGTGAAATGTGTGTGCTGTTGTGGGGTGTGTGCTGTGGAATGTGTGTGCTGTTGTGGGGTGCGTGTGCTGTGGAATGTGTGTGCTGTTGTGGAATGCGTGTGCTGTGGAATGTGTGTGCTGTTGTGGGGTGTGTGCTGTGGAATGTGTGCTGTTGTGGGGTGTGTGCTGTGGAATGTGTGTGCTGTTGTGGGGTGTGTGCTGTGGAGTGTGTGTGCTGTTGTGGGGTGTGTGCTGTGGAATGTGTGTG